TTTCACCTGTGATTATGACACCTAGATTGTGTCTTTATAATCCCAAGTGATTTTAAAATGCAAAACTCTGTTTTAAAGTCGGCCTCCTTTGCCCAATCCAAGTTCTTTGACCTGCCTCCAAAAGACCTGAGGCTTCCAATGCATTCTATCGCGCATGCAGCATGAATACATCAAGCATACAACGTGCACTCTTGATAAAGAAAAGTAAAAAACACCTGTAAAAGGAAGATGTTTTAGGGCATGCAAAATAGAAGTCTTGATTTTAGAATAATGTATACGATATTTATGGAGTTTCAGTGAGTCACCAATTAAAATTTTCTTCTTTACCATATAAAAAATGTAGATTACCAGCAGTTAGATGACAATTGATGCCATAGCTTTTCATAGTTGTTTGTCTCCATGTGTCCATGCCTACGTTTTTAATTTTCTGTATTTGAGTCATGTCCATGTTCCATGTCTTTATCTGTTGTATAGATTTACATACATGCCTTTATCTGTCATCTGACTTTCTACTGTATTTGCTTCTTTCTTTTTGGGTGGAAATACAAGATTTATCGTCAACTTAACCATTTGCTTTTTGTGGTTTCTTAAAAGCGGTGAATGTTTATTGATGCATCAATTGTTGTAGTTTAAATTGATTTGTTGTGGTTTTGAGTTGACGTAGTTAATTTTGTATATGCTCTTTGTAAATTCTTAGTCATTCCCTAATAATGTTATGTTACTACTTGGTGCATGCAGAAGACTTTCTCATTTGCAGTGAGGGATTCACTGATTAACGTTGGCCCTTTGAAAGACTTTTCTTATGGTTTGAGAATCAATGCTGACCCTAATGCCACAGGAGTTGCTAAACAAAGTAACTATGAACTGGTGAGTTTTGCGGTTTTGTTTTTTACCCATTAAATTTTGTGTGGACAAGATGGGATAGAGATTCAACTGAATCATGTTTCTGTTTGCTTTTATATCACTTGGCTTGCAATTGTTTACTGTAGAGTGAATACAGCTTTTCAACTTTTGTCCCTAACTTCTTGTTTGGGTACCTCATTCACTATTTACTTCCAATAAGCCTTCTTGAAGCCACAAATCTCACACTAGTAATGGTGTGTAGTTCTAAAATAATAAATCTTATCTGATTTATTTTGGGTAATTTTCAGGTGTGCTGTTCTGGTCATGGAAAGAATGGTGCGCTCTGTGTGCTTCAGCAGTCAATCCGCCCAGAGATGATTACACAAGTGTGTTTGTACTCTATGGTTCCTTTCAGTTTTACTTTGTTGAAAACTGAAAACTAGGGGCCTTTATTTGCCTATATGAGGGGAAGAAAACTTTTTGGCATGCTTTACATTGAACTCTTTGTTGTGATATTAATGTCATAATTAGGTGAATGCAGGACAGGACCACACAATGCTGTCAACATATGGTTTATTAGTGGGCAGCGGTTATGGAAAGCTTGTAGTGTAGGGGGTTTTATCAGGTAGAAGAAAGTTGAAGAAGATTGGATTGAATAGTAAATCAGTTGGTTTGAAAGTTCACTTTACAGGGATTTCAGAAATTTGTTGTTGTTGAAATCCTTGATGGCAAGTCTATTTGGATTTTGAAGTCTAAATGGAAGGCCAGTGGGTGCGAAAATGGATTATTGGGGATCATTAAAGGTTTTGAACTTATTGTACCATGATTAAGACTCTAGAATAGAAATTATTGGCACTTTAACAACTAAGACTATTCTAGACTTACTGAAGAGTCTATACAAAGACCCATAAGAACACTTGACCCCATATAAAGCCGCCTAAGGAGTTCATGTGAATCTTGGTCCAGATTGGTGCTGCTTCAAATAGCTTCTGGAGTCGCTTCTCTTTTGTCAATGAACTACTGGTCTGACGTGTTGCCATAGCTACTGTTAGGATTTAGTTTGTATTTGTGATTCTCTTCTTTTAGATTTTTGTTCATATCAACTCCGTTCAAAACGTGCTTTAAAGCTTTCTACCTCTTGATGCACTCAAGCTGCTATATGAAGCTTTTGCACCTGATTACATCTCATATGAACTATTATGCTGGATTCTTTGTAATTTCTTACATTTGATGTTTTTGGTAACAGGGGTATTGAGATCACTGAAGCATTACGCTTGCAAGTGGAAGTTCAGAAGCGGCTGCACGAACAGCTTGAGGTATAATTGTGTTCTTTAAAAAGGGATTTGAGTTGGTGTTCGTGGGTGATCATGGATCACTTCGTATTTTAGGGAGCAGATTTAAGTTTCTAGTACTTGTATGTTGGTTCTACATATAAGATCTAGACGAAGCCTGCTGCTTATCTATAGTGATTTGATGCATGACCTGAATGGAAGCTGTTTAAGGCCATACAGTGGCATGGTTTGGCTGTTCTTTTATAAGATTCATGGGTCTCAAATCTGCACCTGGATGGATTTGAAAATACGACACTTCAATCTTGTAAACTCTTGACTTTCTGGTTTGAAATGAGTCATCCACTGGATTTGGCCTTCCTTGCCCAACAAAAGAAAGAGAAACATTTTGCCTTGGGTGACGCTCTGCTTCCTCCAACAATGGTAACATGGTTGGTGCTTCTTGCCATATGTCTGTTATGTTATTGTTGATATAATTTTCTTCTTTTGCAGATTCAAAGGAATCTACAGCTGCGAATAGAAGAACAGGGTAGATATCTCCAAATGATGTTCGAGAAGCAAAGCAAGTCAGGTATTGACCTGCTCAAAACCTCAACGTCCACCATGGACAACCCCTGCGCTCAGTCGGCCTATACATCCCAAAATTCCCCTGCCAAAAATGAACCTGCAGCGGCCTCACAGGAGGACCATCAAGAAACAGGAAACGACCTGGTGAATGCCACCATATCATCTGAAGAAGATTCCCAGAAGTTGGCAGGAAAGTGGAACGCAACTGGAACTGAAGCTTCTGATCCTGAGGCAAATGTTGCTGACGACCCTAACTCACCGCCCTCTAAGCGTGCCAAAGTGGATGTATAAGCCCACTTCATACAGTGAATGACTGACAGATGGTGTTGATACCTGGAATATCCGAGTCGAACAGAGAGAGTTGACTGGTGAGGAGCTCTGGAACTCTTTTCGTCCTCTTCTTTTTAGTTGAATTCTCATGGGCGGTGAGCCTCTTCTGCTCTCCTTCAATTTAACTGATAAACAAATTTCTATCATCATGTTTATACACTCATCTGGTCTCTAAATCAAGCAAACTTAAATGTCGAGGAATTTTTGTCGGAGAATGAAGCCGCCTTTCATCCCCAAGTCTACCTGTGATTTGACAAAATGGGGGTATGTGGATAAAAGTATTCGTAAATATGTTAAGCTTCTAGATACACTTTGCTTTGTCACCATGTTCGTATTTGATTTTCATGGTCAACAACTGCAGTATTGATCTGTGCAAGAAATAGGGGGAGCTACTTACCGAAAAAAAGAAAAACAAAATGAAATAGGGGTAGCTGGGTGTTGCTCCATAAATGGAAGCACTCTCAAATTCAATTC